CCGTTTGACCATTCGTACCTTAGTCTCAGAAACGGGAATTTTTTAGCTAAGCTAATCAGTAATAGTGTTTGCAGCTCACCGTAGAAATTTGAGCCTTTAAATCCTTGTCTGTCCAGTATTTCCGCGTTAGATAGCTAAAATGACGACTCATCTTTTCTTGAGACTCTGTCATATATAGAAAAGACATATATAGAAATACAAATTCCTAGTTTGAAGGAACTATGCGATTTTCGTACATTTGTAGTACTTCTGAATATTTTACATATATTCAAGAAGCAAATAAACCCTTCGAAAGCGCAAACCTGTCCCTTTAAAGAGACAGACGGGTGAATTAGATAACATCTACTAATAAAAACAAAACATAATTGTCTTACCAAGATAAAGAGTAGAAAATTAGAAAATAGTTGCCAGTCCATTTTAAAATCCCAAAAAAATATTCCCTAGCAGAAAATCACACTTCAGTTATCTCCTCTAGCTTTCTGAAGTCATCGATATAAGCGTATTTGAATAACTCAGAACTAATTATTAATAGCTTGGTTAATATAATGTTAGTTAAGGTCCACTGACACTATTACTAACTTCAAATCATGTAATAACTTTATAACCAATATTTACACTTCATTTCTAGTCGCTATTTACAACCCGAAATACCTTCACTGCAGTTATGAATGGAGCTTTTTTCAAGAGGCGGAATACGTTAGGCCAACCAAAATCTTTTATGAGGTTTTAGTGACATAAGATTGGCTGTTTTATCTAAAGGTGAAATACCAATTAGTTGTTCAGCTTGAACCCAACACGACATTTTTGAACCTGATAGTGTCCAATGTAATCGATTAATGTACTCAGTTAACACAAAAAAAGATCTGAAAAAATTTCAATACAAATTTGATGTGATATTTATTATTAATGTCACGCTTTCAGAGTTGATCAGGACTTACCGGTTTTCAAAAAAACATATGGCTGTTTAATTCAAGATTAAACAATCTTTATACCATAGTGTCTTCATAAATTTGAGATGAAAGCCAGAAATGAAATGTTAACAATAGTAAAACATATATAAAGTCATTCAGACAAAAACAAAGCTTACTCTTCGACATTCATTGTACTAATGAAGAAGGGCAACGCCATGCAGTGTGCAATGAAGGAAATCTTGTCAGAACAATAGCATAAGCCTTATCTTTCTCGATTTGCAACTCTTAACGTGCTGAGCCTGTAGCTCACGGGGCCTCGGTTTCCAAACGACTTGACGCCTTCTCAATGTCAGCCCCTCCGACCTGCATCACTGACAGGGACAGGGGGAAACCGGGTTGAAAATTCCTTAGGTATTATAACCTAACAAGGTTATTTAGTCCGTTACTCAAAATATCTTCAACCGATTTTTGTCGCCGACAAGAGTATTGTCAAGAGTTTCTGAAAGTGTTTTCTCACCAGCTCACTGCGTTCGTCAAGATAACATCTATAACCAATCCCTACTGATCGCCTTATGATTACCGCAATGTGATTCATGGTGCGGTTAGATAACACCATTGTCATTTCTTTAAACTGTTAAACCATCTAACAAGAAACAAACTTAATCATACCCAAGCCTTTTGTTTAAACCTGCAGATTTTTTGTGTGTATTTGTTTAAAATTGTGAAACCACAGAAAGTAAACGAGATGGTGGTTAAGGTTTGATGTTGAACAAACACTTACATGGTTCCATAAACAAAGATGATCTAACTTGTTAGGATGTTATAGAGTATTGAATTGCAAAAAGACATGATTTTAAAATTGATAAAGAAATAGTACCACTCATTTTTTCCATATAAGAAATATTTTATACTGTTTTCATATGGTTGAAGATTTTGTGATTCAAAGCTGAACACTGTTTCTCATTCGGAAAATTAAATTGGTTTGGGCTCCATTAAGAGATAGTAAAATTTCCAACAGTGTACTGTATTTCGATTTTATGGGCATCCCGTCACAATATAGGTGAGCTGACCAGGATAGGGTGTCTGGTTGTTCGAAAGGGACATAGAACCGAGCACCAATGTGACACCTTTTGTGCACATTGGAGATTTCGCGAGATTTCTCCACAATTTAAGACACAGTAGAATTTCCAACAGTGTACTGTATTTCGATTTTATGGGCATCCCATCACAATACAGGTGAGCTGACAAGGATAGGGTGTCTTGTCGTTCGAAGGGGACATAGATCCGAGATCCAGTGTGGCACCTATTGTACACAATGTAGATTTCTCGAAATTTCTCCACAATTTCAAATTGTAGCCGGGAATTGCATTCTTAATCTTGACAAAACAGAAAGTGTATTTTGCGTCATCTGTCTACACGTTATTTAAGGCCCTGATGAGAATAGAATATCTACCGTTGCTATGTTTTGGGGTTTTTTTTTGCCATAATCATTTCATAAATCTGAAATATGGTTGCTTTAAAGGTATTGTTCTCAAATTATGACAGTTCCTGTAACTCAGGAATCCCAAATACCCGACTTCACCTTACCGCCTACAACAATAATACAACAGATCTCCACGTCAATCTGAACCGATCAAATTTATCCACATTCCCTCTGAATCAGAACGTGATTCAATGCCTGATGTCTTGTCGATAATTTTTATTAACCCACGAGACGAATTGATATGGTTAATGATTATAGTGATGTACAATTCAAATTAAAGATTGTATGAAATAATATAAAAGGGCATATTCATGTCAAATTGACCATTTGTGCAACTCAAGGGCTGGGATGGTGTTTAGGTGCGCGTGTTTGTGGGTTGGTGGGCTGTCCCGACTTGCCACCCAACCCCCCATCAACCCCCTGTTTCGGCGTCTACCACATAGTCGGAATACCAATGAAAAGTAATTTTACGCCCATCCGGTCAAATTGACTGGAGCTCATCTCATTCTGCCTACACATGGTTAGTGCAACAGCTGCGGACTCGTTTTATCCATAATATCGTTAATCCATAATATCGTGCTGCCGTTATGGATGTAAAAACCTCTTCAGGAAAGATAGTGTTTGATATGGAGGTGCTGTTATTAGAGAGACAAAAAATGTTTTTGTGAGAAGCGCATATCGTAAAAATAATAAAATATATCAGGGGAATTTTCTAAAATTTTGCCAAAATCTTGTCAAAAGCAGATACAAATGGAATGACGGGGGAATTGGTATGCAAGCTGATAAAATTTAACGTTCATGTTCATTCCAATATAAATTATGAATGTTTGAATATACTTCATTATCATTTACACAATACCCCTGATAACATATATACATAAAACATGTAAGTCGTGTATATTTTAAACAATTCTTACAAAGAAAGTATTTTATTTTTCTAGAAGCTGTATCTTGATCTTGTGGCCCCATGTATTTCTCGAGGCTATATTGGTAGAGTGATAGATGGTTATAAGCTAATTGTTTGTGCCACTGCATTCTTTACATACAGTCATCTAGAATAATTCACTTCGTTACAGCAAACAGCTGGACAAAGAATATCGGTTTTTTTAAGTGCAAAGGTTAGATTTTTTTGTCAACATTAATCAAGAATGATTATATTAGCATATTACATTGAAATGAAATTTGTACTTCACGACATTTACTAGATTACTACTAGTTGTTGAATATGTTCGAATTAATGACTGTTTTTTATTATAATAATTCATTGTGGGTATTTAATTCATTTGAATTGTCTTCTTGGGGAACTTTTACAACATTCGGGAGCGAAACCGTATGAAAGGCACTTTTAAAGGTTTGATCGATCGTACCTTATCTTAGAAACGGGAACTTTTAAACTAAGCTAATCAGTAATGGTGTTCACAGCTCTCCTTCAAAATCTGAGCCTTTAAATCCACGTGTGGCCAGAATTATACGCGTTTGAAAATTAAAATGACGACTCACCTTTTTTGTGACTCAGTCATGTACATATACATGTATAAGTTAGAAATATAAAATGAAATTTCTAGTTTGAGGTATATTGAAGGGATAATGCGATTCACGTGCAGTTCTAGTGCATCTGAAAACTATTTGCATTTATTCAAGGCCCAAATCAACCCCCGGAAATGACGAACCATGGCCTTTAAGATAATCAATACAAAAGAAGGCTATACAGAAAAAAATTTTTGGGTGTGCATCTCTTTTTGTCTAATCTGAAACATTGCTTAATTCTTACCATACTCGAAACATTAATGCAATGTGCAAGATGAATTGGTAAAATGTGTTTGCAATTGATATCAATCTCTGCACAATTAAAAAAATATCTGCATCTAAAACCCAATGGCAATACATGTGTGAAAATTGCAGGCAGTTTTATTATTCCATTAATAAAGTTGAATTTCTCTTCAGAAATAAACTATATGTAACACAAGCCTTTGAAGAAAACTTCCACAAGGCATTAGCTTTCTTGAACATGCTTCCTGTTATCTATTAACCAATAAATTTTTCTTATGACCTGTACTTCTGACATGGAATTTTCCTCCTGGTTATGCATAAATTTCAATGGGAGTTTGAAAACGCGAAATTAAAAAGGTTGATCTTATGATATTTCAGAAAAGACATGAAAACTAATAAACACAGAAGAAGAAAAAGAATAACAAAAATATGTGTTTTTTTTTTTTTTTTTGGCATTTCTGATAAAAAAAATATCAGATGAAAAATGGAGATCAGGCTTGAAACGATCGTAGTGATCGATACAAGCAAAAACGATTTGGTATATGAAAACTGTTGCTTTAACTTGTACAGAGAGTACTATACTAATCAGAAGACAAATTCTGTCAATGGTGTTTTTACTAAATGAAAGATGGATCTCCTTCTTGCTGCATCATCAAATTGGAGTTGCTGGTGGTCATCATGTACAAATTTGAGATCACTATCAATATTTTTCAATATCAAAATCAAGAAACTTAGTTGTTCTTTTATTGGAATTTTAACCCCGACAGTTGTCGCCCATTAATCCACTCTGTTCCCTCAGTTTCGAAATTAGTTATATAAAGTATATTTCTACTCACCAAACAAACACCAGATAAACAATAAGAGTTATTATCAAGTTTACATGGTATACCATCACTGAGTATCGCATCTAAGCTTCTATAATAATGATGACCTTCCGCTTTACAAGACAGTTCACATCTTTTGTAAGCTACAAAAAGAAAGTCAAATCGGTGAGAATATATATGAGCTCAAAAATTGCACTTTTTTCTGAAAACTGTTTTCATGCTTAGTTACGTCGAGCACATGGTGGCTGTGGGTTCAATTCTCGATTGACACGTGATATTCCGATGACCTTGAATTAGTCATCTTCACTCATAATTCCAGTCGACCCAGCTGTAAATGGGTACATATAATCCGCGAAAGATCAATGGTTTGGCCAAGGATCAGCTGGTAGAGAGGATCCTTAACTGTGAACCTAAGTTGTTATCCATGTAAAATAAAGTTGTTTATTTCTTTTTCTTTCTTTGCATCCCTAATTCTACCCGCAATTTATTCTAAAAATATAATAATTTGCCCCAAAATATGGGTCGGTATGCACCAAACCAATTCAATTAAAGCCTCCATGAGAAGCTTGCGATTATGACATCTCCACAGTCTGTCCCCTATATGTGCCCCAAGCTCTGTCTCGCGAAGCTGGCCCGGCCACTGACACCAGACACTCACTTAAAGACAACCTTTCAAATTTGAATGAGTATCCAAAATATAAATGCCTCATAGAAAATGATAATGTCTCTGAGAATAATGAAGTGGTAAACCTACATACGATTTCTGATAGCTTTCCAATTAAATCTCTTTCCACCATATATTTTTGAATTGAGTTTTCGACATTCGGAGTCACCATTAGTTGGGTTTTGGCAATTCTGAAATAGAAAATATACAAACGACGATACGAATGGTAATTATGGATAGGTGTCTAATAGAAAGAACAGAAGAATCCTAAATCCAAACAGTCTATAAGTAAGGTTCTTTCAGATTTCTAATCGAATGTGGAACTTTACTAACAATTCATCAGCTTTAAATGTTGATACGAAAACTGCCCTTCTTGTGTCGATCTAATCCACTATCTGTATCTCATTCTCTCAATGAAGTATTTGTTCCATCCTGGACGTGAGCATTTAAATAATCAAGCCCTCCCTTGCCCGAAATGAAATTCACAATGAGAGCCTCTTATTGAGATGGTTCATCGATTTCGCGAGCAAAACGTCATATATTGGATGTCCACTTGTCTGGATGGTTTCGAATTTTGAAGTGTGTCCAGACCTGTTACATGAAGAATTTTGCTCAATTAGCTATTTACCTTTATAAAACAGGGCTTGTATTGCTTCTTTACCCCTTCACATGCCTCGGATTCACTACAAAAAAATGAAAATATTTATGTAACCAAAAAAACTACAGAATGCAACTTACTTACCGTAGCCACGCTTATTTGACGCTTATGCGAATGCTTCTTGTGCTATATTCATATACACTGTGTCCATTTGACTCAAAAAGGCTTCTAGAAACCAAATTTAGTTTTTCACAGCTGATTGTGACATAACATAGACCTACCTATTTATCAGATGACAGACTCTTTGACGATGGACAACTCCATGACCACAGGTTTTACTACATACTGACCAGTCTGTCCACGGTCCCCATTTTCCTTCAACCTGTAACAAAATCGAATCGTCGTTCTATTGATCTGCATTATAAAGTAACTTGCTAACGATGTCCCTTTTGCCAAAATAACTATATAGATGAATTCGCTCCAATGTTATAACTCAGGAACACTTAAGATTCGTTTGACATTGGATATGATTTGGAAAGCAAATATTTAACTTTACAGTTACATGCCATTCACATGTTTAAGAATTTGACATCCATTAAGCAAAAACATTATTTTCATTCAACTTTTTCAAAGCGGAAGGCGTTAAACACAAAAAAATTTATTTGGAATATTTCCAAAATTTACTATTTGAAAAAAGAAATATTCTAAAAAAGTAAAAAAATATTTTATACAATTTTGTTTTTAGGGATGGTCTCCTTTAGCTATTTAAACATGGTGTGTTTTGATTTTAAACCTTTATTGTAGTTTGTATTAATTCAATAGCTTTATGTAATGTTTACATGTTAAGTAGTAAGTAAAACATATATAATTTTATACAACCAGTGCTAAGTAAGGCAGAGTATATAAATTACATTAGATTTTGACATTAGGTCAACTAAACTTTCAACTCAAATATTGTCGTCAAATATCTGCATTGTTAATGCACAAAAAGTGAATTCAGATATGCAAGGTATTTCTTCCTAACAGAATAGTGAATTCAGATACTGTAAAAAGAATTCCATGACACGGTTGACACGTGTCAAAAATTGAATAAATCAAAGGTTTATTTCTATCTTGTAATGAATATGTTACGCACATTCTACTGTTACATTTCCTTCAACCAAGATGATGTTACACCTGAAACGAATAGGTATCAATTGTGTACAAGAATTCATTCATTTATAACACCTTGCTTGTATCAACGAAAACATCTGACCGTTTAGAACTAAAGATACAGCCAACCCGCATCAACTTACAAATATCTAACAGATTGTATGCTATGAAATAGCATTTTATACTATTTTACATCTAGAGACGGAACAATCCGAAGCAGAGGATCGGGTAATTTACAAGAAGCTTGCTCTCATTGCCAGTACACATTTTCGGCCACTTACCCGGTCATAAGTTTCGAATGCAACTGTCGTTCAACTAAGCTGGGAGTTGCGCTCGGGGTAATTTACATGAAGCTTGCTCTCATTGCCAGCACACATTTTCGGCCACTTACTCGGTCATAAGTTTCGAACGCAACTGTCATGCAACTAAGCTGTGAGTTGCGCTCGGTACTCATGACCAACTTCAATATTCGCAACCATACACAATTGCTATGGTGTGAGAGTACCTCTATGAATATCAAGACTAGCGACAAAACAAGCAATTGTACCGAAACTTAACTGTATCACGACAAACAATTTACGGATCCATGGCTCTTATTAAGAAAAGTATTTCTTGAAGATGTTGACAGTAAGGAATTGAACTGGAAAATTCAATTCATATCGCATGTGTGTTCCACTGTCTCATATAATGAATGTATTCGGGCGGATAATCATAAACTTTGATCATAAAAAATAGAACAAGTTGTCAAATTTACTTTAGACAAACGACTAAACGACCATGTCTGGGTCACATGGCCTATCTGTCAATGTTGACTATTTAATCTATTACCATTACGATTTGCTTGAATGTTAAATCGTGCCTAATCGAGAATTTATCTAGTACAAAAATTATTTTTTGAGTAAAGTCAACAAATTCTGGGAGATTTGTTCTAACTTTGAGAATTGACTGTGTAAAGACGAGAAAGAATGTAATAATTATAAAAACAGGGGTATTAGCCAACTGTCAGGTCCATACAGTGTCAGATTTCATGTTAAAGAGAGATCAGATTAGTGGTTTGATGAATGACAATTAATAAAACGTGAACAAAATATGAGATGCACTGCGATCTCTGATGACTCTTTTGTCAGTTAATGATGTATTATGTGTATTATGGGCGGAAAGTTTACCTTAACACTAGATTATGAATTTGAAATGGACTGCAAACTGATAAACAAGTAACTACTGGAAACAAAAATCATTTACAAGTCCAAAGCAATATAGACACCATTGACAAACGTCCATCGACCCGCGCCGACGACCGCAAAACGAAACCCGAAATTCAAAACAATATATTGGCGAAACATTAGTAACAGTTAATGAACATGGAGTAGTATATCAATAATAAGTGAATCAGTATTTCATAATGAAAATGGTATCAGGTGTCTAGAAGAGTAAGCATACCCCTTCTGGTGCCCAGGACTTTCGATCTGTCGCAGTCGAAATTTCCGAGTGCGAGCAAAAGCGATAGAATATGGGCAACTATGGAAACATTTGCGATATTTTAGTCGTCGGTACACTCAAGTCAACTGAATTCAGTGGCCGATGACTATCCCCTTGTTGCTGTTAATTTCTAAAAATATAATTTTTCTCAGACATTGTAATCGATCTGAGCTCCCCTTAATCAGCAGGAGTCGCATCCGCTTCCAATAAATCTGAAATCACTGCACCGCCTGCGGGCAACTGCATCTAAGTGTAACACGTTATGAAAATAAATATAGGAAATATAAAGTCAACGAAGTGTAAAATATTTTGACATTTTTAACACCGCAATTAGTTATCTCACTTTTTGTTTAAATCATGTCTCTTTTTTATCTGTCATTATGATTATTTTATCATCTTTTCACGACGAAAAGTTTGCATCAAATTGTCAACATGTCGCCAGATTATCAAATTAACTTGACGTATATTTTAGATGAAAGATTAACTTGACAAGTGAAAAGACGTTAAAATTAATTTTTGCCTTATTATACCATCAAAAGTTGTGAAAGAATAATACCTTAAGGTTTGCTCAAAAGAAGTTTTGTCTTGTTTTTTTTAGTACAGTGTGATAAAGAACTAACGACTTCTTTCAAGTTTGTACTGGTTATACGCCCACATCTTAATCATCTCAAGCAAAAACGAAATGGAATGAAATTGAATATCTCACGTTTCTGGTCAAGATTGGGCAAATGAAAATGGGGAGTGCATTTATCGAAATTTCAATTTTGTAATTGCTGTACACCCATATTTTAATAATCGTAGGCCCTTGAATTGACTTAAAAATATTGGGAGCTAACCCCGGGGGCTGCCAATGCAAGCGTCTAATTCATGAAGCCATATAGTTTGTATTAATTACTCTCAATTCGTCAAAATACATTAACATAATGCTTGTAAATCCCATGTTGAAGAAACTTTCAGGTTTCAGAGGAGTTTTCCTTGAATGGTTATCAAGTTACAGATTGTCTGACCAAAACTGACGTTAATTCTAAAATGATTACCACAAAAAGGTAAGTTCCGACATTTAAAATACATGTTTATTTAGGTTTAGGCCTAAAACTGAAAAGGGTTGTTTAAATATCAAAATTTGTCTTACCAGAGTACACAGACTGCAATATATACACACAATTATAACAGACCACCTAAAAAAGTAAAAGGAATTAAATTACACGTTAGAACAATAGATAAAGAAAGAAAAAGATAACGTGG